ATGCCGTGCCATGGCCAAGACAGCCCATCCAAAGCCAGCAGCTTGCCATGCCGAGGGCAAGGCCAGCCGCATGCCATGCCAAGGCCAAGGTAGCCCAGCCAAAGCCAGCAGCATGCCATGCCAAGGCCTAGGCCAGCAGCATGCTATGCCACGGCTAAGGCCAAGGCCAGCAGCACGCCATGCCCCGACCAAGGCAGCACAGCCAAAGCCAGCAGCATGCCATGCCAAGGCCAAGGCCAGCAGCATGGCTTGCCACGGGCAAGGCCGCCCAGCCAAAGCCAGTAGCATGCCATGCTGAGGCCATGGCCGGCAGCATGGCCTGCCACGGCGAAGGCAGCGCAGCCAAAGCCAGCAGCATGCCATGCCGGGGCCAAGGCCGGCAGCATTCCATGCCAAGGCGAAGGCACCCCAGCCAAAGCCAGCAGCATCCCATCCCAGGCCAAGGCCCACAGCATGCCATGCCATGGCCAAGGTAGCCCAGCCAAAGACAGCAGCATGCCATGCCAAGGCCAACGCAGCCCAGCGAAAGCCAGCAGCATGCGATACCAAGGCCAAGGCCAGCAGCCTGCCATGCCACGGACAAAGCAGCGCAGCCAAAGCCAGCAACATGGCATGCGAAGGCCAAGGCCAGCACCATGCCATGCCCCGGCCAAGGCAGCCCAGCCAAAGCCAGCAGCATGCCACGCAAAGGCCAAGGCTAGCAGCATGCCATGCCATGGCCGAGGCAGCCCGGCCAAAGATAGCAGCATGCCATGCCAAGGCCAAGGCAGCCCAGCGAAAGCCAGCAGCATGCCATGCCAAGGCCAGGGCCAGCAGCCTGCCATGCCACGGACAAGGCAGCCCAGCCAAAGCCAGGAGCTTGCCGTGCCAAGGCCAAGGCGAGCAGGATGCCATGCCACGGCCGAGGCAGCCCAGCCAAAGACAGTGGCATGCCATGCCCAGGCGAAGACCAGCAGCATGCCATGCCAAGGCCAAGGCCAGCAGCATGCCATGCCAAGGCCTTGGCCAGAAGCATGCCATGCCACGGCCAAGGCAGCCGAGCCAAAGCCAGTGGCATGCCATGCCAAGGCCAAGGCCAGCAGCATGCCGTGCCACGGCCAAGGCAGCCGAGCCAAAGCCAGCAGCATGCCACGCCAAGGCCAAGGCCAGCAGCATGCCCTGCCACGGCCAAGGCAGCCCAGCCAAAGTTAGCAGCATGTCATGCCAAGGCCAAGGCCAGCAGCATGCCGTGCCATGGGCAAGGCAGCCCAGCCAAAGCCAGCAGCATGCCATGCCGAGGCCAAGGCCGGCAGCATGCCTTGCCACGGCCAAGGCAGCCCAGCCAACGCCAGCAGCATGCCATGCCGAGGCAAAGGCTAGCAGCATACCATGCCATGGCCAAGGCAGCCCAGCTAAAGCCAGCAGCATGCCATGCCGAGGGCATGGCCAGCAGCATGCCGTGCAAGGCCAGGGTAGCCCAGCTAAAGCCAGCAGCATGCCACGCCCAGTCCAAGGCCAGCAGCTTGCCCAGCCACGGCCAAGGCAGCCCAGCTAAAGCCAGCAGCATGCCATGCCAAGGCCAAGGCCCGCAGCATGCCAGGCCACGGGCTAGGCAGCCCAGCCAAAGTCAGCAGCATGCCATACCGAGGCCAAGGCCAGCAGCATGCCATGCCGAGGCCAAGGCCGGCAGCATGCCATGCCACGGCCAAGGTAGCCCAGCCAAAGCCAGCAGCATGCCATGCCGAGGCCAAGGCCGGCAGCATGCCATGCCAAGGCCAAGGCAGCCCAGCGAAAGCACGCAGCATGCCAAGCCCAGGCCAAGGCCCGCAGCATGCCATGCCATGGCCAAGGCAGCCCAGCCAAAGCCAGCAGCATGCCATGACAAAGCCAAGGTCAGCCGCATGCCATGCCAAGGCCAAGGCAGCCCAGCCAAAGCCAGCAGCATGCCATGTCAAGGCCAATTGCAGCAGGCTGCCATGCTAAGGCCAGCAGCATGCCGTGCCAAGGCCAAGGCCAGCAGCATGCCACGCCAAGGCCAAGGCCAGAAGCATGCCATGCCACGGCAAAGGCAGCCCAGCCAAAGCCAGCAGCATGCTGTGCCAAGGCCAAGGCCAGCATCATGCCATGCCACGGCCAAGGCCAAAGCCAGCAGCATGTCATGCTAAAGCCAAGGCTAGTGGCATGCCATGCCACAGGCAAGGCAGCCCAACCAAAGCCAGCAACATGCCATGCCACGGCCAAGGCAGCCCAGCCAACGCCAGCACCATGCCATGCCGAGGCCAAGGCACCCCAGCCAAAGCTAGCAGCATGCCATGCCAAGGCCAAGGCCAGCAGCATGCCATGCCAAGGCCAAGGTAGCCCAGCGAAAGCCAGCAGCATGCGATGCCAAGGCCGAGGCCAGCAGCCTGCCATGCCACGGACAAGGCAGCCCAGCCAAATCCAGCAGGATGGCATGCGAAGGCCAAGGCCAGCACCATGCCTTGCCCCGGCCAAGGCAGCCCAGCCAAAGCCAGCAGCATGCCATGCAAAGGCCAAGGCAAGCAGCATGCCATGCCACGGCCGAGGCAGCCCAGCCAAAGACAGCAGCATGCCATGGTAAGGCCAAGGCAGCCCAGCGAAAGCCAGCAGCATGCCATGCCAAGGCCAGGGCCAATAGCCTGCCATGCCACGGACAAGGCAGCCCAGCCAAACCCAGCAGCATGCCATGCCAAGGCCAAGGCCAAGGCCAGCAGCATGCCATGCCAAGGCCTAGGCCAGAACCATGCCATGCCACGGCCAAGGCAGCCGAGCCAAAGCCAGAGGCATGCAATGCCAAGGCCAAGGCCAGCAGCATGCCGTGCCAGGGGCACGACAGCCAAGCCATAGCCACCAGCATGCCATGCCGAGGCCAAGGCCGGCAGCATGCCCTGCCACGGCCAAGGCAGCCCAGCCAACGCCAGCAGCATGCCATGCCGAGGCCAAGGGTAGCAGCATGCCATGCCATGGCCAAGGCAGCCCAGCTAAAGCCAGCAGCATGCCATGCCGAGGGCAAGGCCAGCAGCATGCCGTGCGAGGCCAAGGTAGCCCAGCTAAAGCCAGCAGCAAGCCAAGCCCAGGCCAAGGCCAGCAGCTTGCCCAGCCACGGCCAAGGCAGCCCAGCTAAAGCCAGCAGCATGCCATGCCAAGGCCAAGGCCAGTAGCATGCCATGCCACGGGCTAGGCAGCCCAGCCAAAGTCAGCAGCATGCCATACCGAGGCCAAGGCCGGCAGCATGCCATGCCGAGGCGAAGGCCGGTAGCATGCCATGCCACGGCCAAGGCAGCCCAGCCAAAGCCAGCAGCATGCCATGCCGAGGCCAA